TTTCAATTGCACCAAATGTGGTCCCTTGACTTTTAAAAACTTACCCAATTTAGTCATCTGTTAGGCTTTTCGTCTACTCAGTGTTAAAATGGAAGGCATTTTAGTCCGTTTACCTATTATACATGTAATGTACATTATGAATTATAAAAATGTATGTTGCAGTTGGGCGCGCAAAAAAATAAAATTAAGCAAAACGATGTAGTTTTTAGACCGTGGTCCACACATCTGTGTATTGCTAAATTCAATTGTTATATCGTGCACCAGGGCGCACAATGCATTGTAGAGTAGAGTACACATAAACTCCTAACATAATACACATAATCTTAACATAATACACATAATCTTACAATAAACTCTTATAATACACATGCACTCTTAACATAATATACATAAACTCTTAACATAATACACATATACTCTTAGGGTGCACGATATAATTTGTCCCTTATTATTGGCAAATTATGGTCTACACAATTGTATGAACCATAAATATAAGGTACATTCTTAATATATTAAAAGTACATTATTATTTTTTACTAAAGATACATAATATAAAATAATGTACCCTTAGCATATTAAAAATGTACTTTCAAAAAATGTACCTTATGTACATAAATAATGTACCCTTAATATATTGAAAATATACTTTTTATTTATCGTCCACACTATGTAGATCATGGTCCATGCAATAATGATTGCTTATTATTGGACAAGGCCTGCTTTTTACTGGGCCCAATATTTAGAACTGGGCTGAATAAGTGGGCCCATTAGTCCTTCTCGCCATCCACCCTTTGTAATTTTCATTTCTTTTTCTTTCTGTTTTTTTTTTTTTTTTTTTTTTTTTTCTTTGGTTGCTGGGCAGTGTCAAGTGTGACATGACCACATTTTTCGTGATTTACTTTCAATTCTACCTTTCGCATATATGTCTCAAAATAATAATAATAATAATAATAATAATAATAATAATAATAATCTCATTTTCCTTCGCTATCATATGGTCCACACAGCTATGTGGACAATACTATTAAATAATGTATATTCAGTACATAAATAATGTACTTTTAGTATATTAAAAATGTACATTATATTTAACGAAAGTATATTATTGTGTATTATGTATATTTAATTCCCAAAAAAAAAAAGTATTATGTATATTTAATACACAAATAATATTTTTGACAACCAAAGAACTTCATTCATCATAGCAAACCTGAAATACAATTTGGTGGGAAAGACTCCCAAACACCTAGGACAGAGGATGAAACCGCCTGCGCAAGCACGTGAGCAACATGATTCGCTGACCTACTGACATGACAGACAACAACGTTCCTGATGTCCCTAACAATCAAACGATAATGCTTTATAATTAAACCAACATAACAAAGATCTATACACAAATAATATATTTTATATATATTAAAAATGTACTTTTTATATTCGTCTACACAAATACACAATAATTTGCCCTCTCGTAGCACTTAGGCTGAATTTTGGGCTTCATAGCTCATTACGCTTTGCAGTATTATTACAGTTTCTAATTCATTTTAAAATTAATTTCAGAAGTTTCTTGTTTTTTGTAACAATTTCAAATTTAGTATCAGATTATCATTTTTGTTATTTAACATCACAAACTATTATTTTTTTAGATATTTTTATAATTTTCATGACTTTTCTTATTTTAGTAAAGACATTTTTGTCTCTTCATATTTTTCTTTTGTTATTTTTCGAGTTTCAATCGGTTTAATTGGTTTAGGACTTTACTAAAAACCGGTTGAAAATATGATTACTAAAAATCAGAGGTTACATACCTAAAGTTCTAAACAAATTAAACCAGTTGAAACCCAAAAAACAAAAAAAACAAAAAAATATATGAAAAGACAAAAATATCCTTACTAAAAATAGAAAAGTCACAAGAAGGACTAAAAATGTCTAAAAAATAATAGTATGGGATGTTAAATAGCAAAAACGATAGTTTAGGACTAAATTTGAAATTGCCACCAAAGAAAAAGGACATCTAGTGGAATTAACTCTTTATTTTATTTTATGTGTCATATTTATATTTATTTGTTAAATAAATTGTAGTTCTCAAATAGAACTTTTTTGAATTTTGTTTTTCTGAAATGAACTTTTTTGAATTTTTTTTTTTGAAAATTATATGATACTTTATTAGAAATAAGCCGAAATAATGTCAGGTGGGTAAACATCCCAATACATAGTAGCAGGCTGCTGGTATGCCGAAGTAGCTAAAGCATGAGCTAAATAATTGTCTAATCTAGTAATATAACTAACTGAACAAGACTGAAATAAAGACACAACTGCTCTGCAGCTGTCAATGGCATAGCCAACGTAAGAGCGAAACGCAGCAGGTGGCGTAGTAAGATATCGTTGTAGTGTCAAACAATCCGTAAATATGTCGATGTGCTGTTCCCCCCGATCCTTTAACCATGATAAGGCTTCCTTGCAAGCCAGCGCCTCGGCCATTAGTGGTGAGGAGCAATCCGGGAGAGGCGCAGTAAGAGCCGAGACGTATCCCCCATCCACGTCTAGGAGAATAGCCCCAACCGTGGCCTTGCTCGTGCCATGTAAGTATCCCGCATCGACCCGGCATATCCTTCGAGACGGTGCAGACCGCGGAGCATGGAGGCCGGGGTGTGATGTCGTAGTCGGTACCGTCTGGGTTCGGGTGGCAGTGGGTTGCTGTGCTTGTAACCATGCTTGCATGGTAACCGTTGCCGCCGTGGTCAAGGATGATGGGTGTGGTAGACATGCATTCCAAACCGCCCCGTTCCGTGCTCTCCAAATATTGTATAGAATTGATGCCGCATATACAATCCCATCAGAGTCTAAAACATTTGAGAGCTCACAAAACCAAACATGAAAAATATTTGTCATAATATTTGGGATTGGAAGGTTGGATCGTTCCCATATGTTCTTCGCAAATTCGCACAACACTAAAGCATGCATAGTGTCCTCTTGAGATATTCCACACATGGCACAATGTGGGTCCAGATCTACCCTCTTTATAAGCAAGTTAGTACTAGTTGGCAAAATATCACAAATGGCTCTCCACAGAAACATCTTCCACTTTGGAGGGATTTTGAGTTTCCATAGGGTCAACCATTTGGTAAAGGTCCCGGTACCACTCTCATAATTTCCAACTATCAACCTGTACTCGCACTTTACTGAATAAATTCCTCTCTCCATGCCAATACCACGTATCATCGTATTCCGGGGAGACAAGTATTTTTATAATATTTGCCACATCATTAGGTTGGAATAAATCAGTTAGAATTGAGTGATCCCATGAACCTGTCTGTTGATCTATCAATCCCACCACTCTGGCATCCTCCAACTGTATTGGCATCTCAGTTTGTATCATGGGGTCGTGATCATCCTGTAACCAGGGATGAGTCCATATGAGTGTAAACTCCACGTTTCCAATTCTGCGTCTTACCCCACTACAAATTATACTCTTAGCTGCTATAATGCTCCGCCAACAGAAACTGGGGTTATTTCCTATCTGTGCATCAAAAAATGAACCCTTAGCATAATAGCGAGTCTTATATACACGAGCCACTAGGGACTCAGGTTTAGTAAGCATCCGCCACGCCTGTTTCCCCAACATTGCTAGGTTAAAGGCACGTAAATCCTTGAAACCCAAACCCCCATATTTCTTAGGGACACATAACTTATCCCAAGCCTTCCAATGTATTCGGTTATCAGTTCCAGAGTCCCACCAGTAACGATTCATAGTCCTTTCAATTGCCGTGCACACAGATACTGGTAGTAGAAAGACACTCATTGAAAAGGTAGGCATAGCTTGTGCCACACTTTTCAACAAAATCTCCTTTCCTGCATGTGATAGTAATCTCTTGTTCCACGACCCAATCCTTTGCCGTATTGTATCCTCAATATACGAGAAAGCTGCTTTTTTTGTTTCTTCCAACAAAAGAGGGAAGACCTAAATACTTGCCAAAATTAGGAGCCCTCCCTACTCCCAACACTTGAGCCACAGCTTCCTTATCCGTGTCATTCGTATTTCTGCTATAACAAATACTTGACTTGTGATAATTAACTACCTGCCCAGATAAACTCTCATAAACTGATATGCATCTTTTAATCTCATTAGCCTCCTCCACATTAGCCTTAAAAAATAAAAGACTATCATCAGCAAAAAGCAAATGAGAGATAGGGGGAACACCTCTCGCAACTCTGCAACCATGAATCAAACCTGAATTATGAGCCTGCTGCAACAGTAGGGAAAGTCCCTCTGCACAAATAATAAATAGATACGGGGACAATTGGTCTCCTTGCCTTAAACCCCGCGAGGGTACAATGGTGTCACTCCGGGGGCCATTTATCAGTATGTTATACGAGACAGTAGTTACACACTTCATTATCAACTTCACCCATCTTTCATCAAAGCCCAATGCCAACATCATGCTTCTAAGGAAAGATCATTCCATCCGGTCATAGGCCTTTGCCATATCTAGTTTAAGAGCACTCCACCCCACCGCACCACACTGCTTTTGATTTAAAAAATGTCACACCTTCGCAGCTAGTAAGATATTATCTGTGATTAGTCTATCAGGGATAAAGGCACTTTGATACTCCGATATTATCATTTCCATCAACGGCTTCATTCTATTAGTAATTATTTTTGCCATAATCCTATCAATCACATTACTGAGAGCTATAGGACGCATATCAGTGACCAACTCAGGGGAATTCTTCTTCGGGATCAAAACAACATTTGTACTATTCAATTCAGGAGGTAAATTTCGAGAGTTAAGGCAGCCTATCACAAAACTTGATACATCACCCCCTACCACATCCCAAAAATGCTGATAGAAGCCCGGATTCATTACATCCGGCCCCGGAGCCTTGTCTGGAAACATTGCAAACAAAGAAGTTTTAACCTCCTCTAATTCAAAAGGCCTGAGCAATGTTTCATTCTGTGCCTGAGTTACCCGCGGGGCAATGCCTTCAAAGAAACCCTCTCAAGATCCTGGATTTTCAGAGTAGAAAATATGATTGAAGTATTCAAAAATAATATTTCTCATAGGCTCCCCTTCCACCCAGTCCCCATTATCATTCATTAATCTAGATATAGTATTCTTCTTTTTACGATGAGAAGCATACCTGTGAAAGAACTTCGTATTGGCAGCGGCCTCATTGAGCCAATGCTGCTTAGCTCTCTGCCTCCAGTAAGCATCCTCTTGGGCTTCAGTGCGACTTAGAAGCTGCTCTAAGCGCTGAAACTCTGCAAGTGAGGCCGGATCAGTACATCCCCTCAACCGTTGCTGCTTCTTGTTTAGGTCATTAATCTGTTTGCCATATTTGTGGTACTGGTCTCCACCCCATCGTGTTAACCGATTCCCACAGTATTCAATACAGCTCTGCAAACCCTGTCCCCGTCCTTCCTGCCACGACTGCTGGACCACCTCCCTACACCCCTCATCATACAACCATGCCATCTCAAATCGAAATCCCCTCTTACCAGGCCCATTCCTCCCTAAGGACTCATGAATTCCCAGAAAGAGAGCCGAATGATCAGATTTTCGGGTTCTCAAATTTGACACCCTGGCCCTCGCAACTATGTTGCGCCATTCCTCAGTTACTAAGACCTTGTCTAGTCTCTCCTCAAGCCAATTAACTGTCCCCTTCCCCTTCTCCCATGTATAGGGTATCCATCCATAGGCATCTGGGCAAGCCCACAATCCTCAATAGCGTCCTCAAAACCGCGTAGGAGGCTATTCGGATGCGGATTCCCCCATCTCTTCTCATACTGATATAACAAATCATTGAAATCCCCCACAAAAATCCACGAAAAATTTGATTTGACAGATAACGTCCTCAAGAGATCCCATGACTCAGTGCATCTCGTACGTTCGGGAAACCCATAATAACACGTCATATGCCATCATGGAAAACTAGTAATACTTACCTCAACATCAACATAGTTCGTTGAGTAACTGAGTAAACGTGCCGTATTATTCTTCCTCCAAAACAATGCCAAACCACCACTCAAACCATTATTATCAACATAGAACAGTCCTTCAAAACCGATTTTGACACGAATCCGCTCAGCATGATCGCGTGCCACCTTAGTCTCCATCAGAAATACAAAGTCGAGTTGCTTACGGGACACCATGTCCACAACTTCACGAATTGTCCGTGGATTACCCAAGCCACGGCAGTTCCAACTTAGGGTACTCATTGGTTCGGGCGGGTCTGGGAACCAGAACCCGCCTGCTGCAAGTTTTTTGAGAGCTCGGCCATAACAACATCCCCACCAACAAACATCCCATCATCACCCACCTCCTCCCGACGCCGTTTGGCAACCGCCACCAACTCCGCCTCCACGGCGTTATTCGGCCGATTACCACCATCCGACGACCGCCCCTCATCCTCGGTTTGCACTGGCGTACGTTGTGCCACTGCCGAACACCCTGGCGGTAACAACCAACTGCCCCCCACCGGCCTAGGGCCACAAGTTCCTCCAGCGCGCAACTCAGGTCCAAACAAATACTCATCCACCGCCATCTTCGAGTCTCTCGCACCACGGCGGAATTTATAGGAGTGCCCTAGCATGTCACAAAAATAGCAGTACGTATGTAATTGTTTGTACTTGAACGTGACCCAGCAATTTGTTTTATCCCGCTTAATAAAATTCATTTGTCTTTTCAAGGGCTTATCAACAGCTAGCGAAACCCTAATGCGATGAAACACCTTCCATGGAGCATTGTCAAAACGATCATCGCTCTTTACAAACTTCCCCATGAAGTTCCCAATCTGTTCCAATATTCGACCGGACGAGTAACCTTTTCGTAATCCATGCAGCTGTACCCATAAATCCACCGAGTCCAACACCATATCCGCCGGCATCACTCCCTCAGGGACTTGCTTACACACAAGGGTGCTATTATCAAAGGACCAAGGCCCCTCGCTTAGAACCCGTTCCATGTCCGTGACGTGGTGGAATACGAACAAGAACCGGCCAGGCTCTACCTCCGTTACCTCAACTCCACTCACCGGTTGCCACACCGACGCCATGACCTGACTCATGAACTCAAGCCTGACTAGCTTCCGTGTCAAGAAGCGCCCTACAACTCCCCAGCTTTCCTCCTCGACAACCGGCATCACATCCTCCTCTCTCGGCTCGACCGCCGGCATGAACGTCGTGGCCTCCTCTTCCAAAACCATATCTGCCCACCTTTGGGTGAGCCCTGCAACCCCCGGTACATCCGACGTCGACGCCATACATACAAGCAGCGGAAACAGTTTGCTCGGCCTACCGGAAAACCTCCGTAAGAAAGAAGTCGATGGACCGACGTGAAGACCTAGAAAACCCTAGGTAGAGAGCAACTTTTTTGAATTTATTAGAAATTGTAATATAATTTTTTGAATATGTATTTTTTAACAATATTAAATAAAAATAAATCTGATGCTTTTAATATTCCTTGTGCAAAGACTCGGACGTTACACCAAAAAATATTCCTTGTGCGTTCCATGTTGCTTTGATCTATACAATATAGTATGAGGTGTTATTGTTGGAGACTGTGTTTCGCTTATGAATAATTTTGAATCTGTTAAGGTCGATTATGTTAGACGCTCCGCTAATTCGGTAACTCATGCTATTGCTAGAGCATCGGGTTACAGCTCTGAGCAGAGTGTATGGACTAAGGTCCTCACACCTATGCCTTCACACAAAGAACGTGACATCATGTCCATACGGTTCACAGACTTAGTAGGCATTATTTTGGGGAAGAAATCAAGGTTCGAAATTCAACATCGGCAGTGTGGGGATTATGTTTAAAGTGAGCAAATCTCTTGTACACACTGGTATTTGATCATGTCTATTGAACCACTGAATTATTGTGATTTACATCCTTTCAAATGCACTGTCGGACCGAGATTGAGAATTCAACCATTTGAGGGAAAAGAATGTGCCATCATTTCATCGATGATGACACCACCGTAAGTTAGTCCAATACTCAATATTTTTTACATCAGAGGGGAGGGGATACCCGAGAAAGGAGCTAGTTAGCATCGCGGCTGACCCACATCACACGAAGGCGATCTTTGCCAATAATTTCCTCAATGCCAGGGGGGCATCAACCAAGATCCTTCCAATTTCCATTGAGATTCACAGCCATATTTGCCAAGGCATCAACACTTTCGTTTTGCTCCCTGTGTATGCTCCTTAAAGACACACTCCAGTTTCTGGCTAGCCACATTTTGATATTCTCAATATGTTCATTGATAGGTCCTCTCAAGGGAGAGTTTTCCATGATCCATTTCACGACAGTTTTTGCGTCTGATGGGACTTCAAGATCTCTAATGCCTTTTACCCAAGCCCAATGAATATTCACAAAACTTATATGAAAATTATAAGCCAAACTAGTGCTTCATGTTCATGCTTGCACGCTTGTTGTTATATATTGTGTCAATGTAACTACGAACAAAAAATGAACATACAAACCGTTATAGAAACCAAATAACCAATAATTGCTCAGGCCAAAATCATGACCTACCATGGAACAAGTTAACCTAACAAAATTAAGTGTCTAAAGTTTTTCAGTTAGTAACATACATTCATCATATAAGATGTTTCATATTTATTTATATATTCCCTATCAAATGCATTAAAAATTGTACTTGGTAAAATTTTAATAACATGATTTAAAATTTGAATATCTTATCGTTTTAACTTTTTTTTTTTTATACAATATAAAAATATAAATTACAATTGAACAAATACCAATTCCGGAACCACGAGTATTAGCAAAATGACAGTTTTGATCTACATGTTTAATTCCTATCAATTTTCATCAACGACTATTGTTTTTGTATCAATTTTCATTCACGACTATTGTTTTAGTGTCAAAATTCATTACATCGGTCACCGCTCCGTTAAAAACATTCTGAAATCTAAAATTTTAAGAGTAATTTCATCATTTTTCAACTTAAGATTTCAATTTGAGCATGAATAAAGTGATTTAAGCCCTAAGATCAATCTCAATTTGCAGTTTTCCTCCCTATCCTACCTTAATTTGAAGAGGAGAACTGCAAATTGGGATTGATCTTAATTAGGACTTAAATCTCTTTATTCATGCTCAAATTGAGATCTTAATTTGAAAATAACGACCCATATCTGAACTTAATAACATATATATGCTAATACAAGTACATCCTTCATCAATATCTACAAATCAAATATACCCCTATCCAAATATGGAAAAATGTTACACCCTTCCCATATGATCAAACCATTGGCCTAAAGTCAAGGACTTCATTCTTTTTCATATATTATGTCAAAGAGATAATTGTCCCTTATTTTTTCAATTAAAAATAGAAAACAAAAAGGGAATTTTAAAGCTTTAGACTATGAAAGTCAACATATATGGACAAGTCATTGGCACAAAATCAAGCCACTCGTGATAGATACACAAATCAAGTACAGCTTTTGCCTAACGTTTTAATATGCCAAGACTAAGAAATACCAGTCTACACGATAGCTTAAAAGAGCATTAAAAAAAGTTGGAGAAAAAGAAACTCCTCTCTCAGGTATCATTACTTACCACTTAAGACGTTTGATACTTGCAAACATGTTATCAATAAGATTTAATTCAAACCAGCTTGGTTGGCATGAGTGGTCGTGCATTCTTGTCTCTTAAGAGAGGTTGGAGTTTGAACCCTTTTCGTGTAGAAAAATCAATCTGATCAACACTATGCCGCAAATTATGCAGTAGACTCGTGTTCACAATGCATTGTGGACACGAGTCCAAAACGACGTCGTTTTCAGGGAAAATGCGTCATTTCAGTTAATTTTTTTTTTTTTTTTTTGATTTTGTCTTGCCGTTAACACTGTTAACGGCGTTATTCGTTTGTGCCATTATGAATGCACAGTTGTGGGATTATGAATGTATAGTTATGGCATTATTAATGTACAGTTATGGAATTATGAATGTAAGTTATAAAATTATGAACACAGAGCTCTGACATTATGAACTTACAATTATAAACATATAGTGATAAAATTATGAACATAGAGCTCTAAAATTGTGAACATCGAGCTTTGAAAATTATGATTTTACAGTTATTGCATTATGAATGTACAGTTATGCAATTATGAATGTACAGTTACGCAATTATGAATGTACAGTTATGAAATTATGAACACAGAGCTCTGACATTATGAACTTACAATATGAACATATAGTGATAAAATTATGAATATAGAGCTCTAAAATTGTAAACATAGAGCTTTGAAAATTATGAAGTTACAGTTATTGAATTATGAATGTACAGTTACGGAATTATGAATGTACAGTTATGGAAGTATGAATGTACAGTTATGGAATTATGAACATAGAGCTCTGACATTATGAACTTACAATTATGAACATATAGTAATAAAATTATGAACATATACTCCTATAACGAAGCGGTCTGAAATTAAAAAAGAAAAAAA